TCACCCCAGGTTTGCAGCAGGGTAAGAGCTCTCCGCAACAGTGGTGTTTTGGTTGTGCACAGCACAGTCTGCATGGCATCCTTTTCAAGATGCAGTCACACATCTCCCATCCTTCAGTCGCACACATCCTCTGGCACACCGTTCACACAGCTCACGTGTGTTGCTGGGCTGCACAACTCAAGTCTGCTTTTCCACAGTGTGTGCAGGTGGTTCAGCATTCGTGAAGGAAATAACGCAAGCAATGGCAACATTTCGACTTCACCTAATAAAAATAAATCACAGCAACCTTTCCATCTAAATTAAGGTGCTTATTAGCCTTTGGGATCTTAAAAATTCAAGTTACACTCATGTACCTTTCATAGTACTACACATGACTGACACAATTAATGCGCATTAAGAATATCAGGCAAATCTAAGATGATTGAAAAGTTAAAAAATTGCTCAGGCCTGAATTTTTTACTTCCGTTATCAATAGTTTAATTTATTGCAACTTTGTGACCTCTTCAAAGAAACAAACAAGGACTATAAATATAAGTGAGCACTAATATTGATATGTCAGCATTAGTTCTGATATTATTAACAATAGGCATGAGTGCATTATGCAGCAGAAAAGGGGGCTGAATTTTAATAGACATGTTAACAACATCTGTCAGCATTTATTGCCCTATTGTGACCACATAAAGAGCCTTATTGGCAGAACATGTAAGTGAGGAAATCTGCTACACTGTTGTAGCCTGCCATTCTCCTGAAATATCACTCTGCTTAAGAGAAGTTACAGTATTCTAATTAGAAAAATAAATAAACAAAAATACAAAAGAAACATAGAAAGACTTCTGCAAGCCATGTCACGTGGAAGAGAAGTTCTGCAGCAAGCCAAGATTCTCTTCTGTTCCTTGACTTCTGCATAAGATGCTTCTATACATTTTTATTATAATTACTAAAACTGAAACCCACAGTGAGGAATGCACGAACGTAACAAAGAAATAAAAAGCAAACAAAAGAAACAAAACCACCCTCAGAACACAGCAACAAACTACAACCCCTCTCAGCAGCATCCAATGGGAAGTACTCTGCGTCTTCAGGCTCCTCAGGGAGATTTTGCAGAGCCCCGTAATCACCCTTTCTGAATCAGAAAAATAGTTCTAACATCTAACACCAAGAAAGCACGCTCCCTTCTGTCTCTCTCTCCCCCTTCTTAAACTCAGCAGTAATATTTTTGCCTTACTGGTAAAAACATCAAGCGGGCTTGTTTCCTGTTTCAATGTTATTCTTGAAATGGGCTGCAGTAAGAATCTGATTTTCATTGGGCTATTATTATTTGCAGCTGCGTGACCTTTTTAACCCTCTTTTAAAAGTGACATTTCAGCCTTCAACCTCAAGCTCTCTAAATGTTGCAAGGTTTTCAGTCCTCTGATTAACAGTGAAAAAGAACCGATGGAGAGATGTATGCTACAACGTGTCTAATACAGGTCAGTGCACCCAACCTGCCATTTGCACAAGTGAGTAATTACACTCTTATAAGCAACCTGTTTGCTGAAATTAATCACCTGGGCACATGCTTGCAAGACAGGTTTCTTCAGCCTGGTGTGACCAAGGTCACTGAGATTTCCAAATACACACACAAAATACACAGTCGCTAGAGTCAGCAGCAGTATGCAGAGACATGAGCAATAAATGAAGCATCACCTATTTTTTAGGGTCATGGCCACAACGTATAAAAAGTGAGAGGAGACACGGTTATGCTGCACTTGTGGACATTAAAGAACCCCATCGGTGTATGCTAGCTATGGCTATTGAGTACAGCACTATTTATAGATAATTACAGTGTTATTACAAATGCTATTCAGACTTGTTGGGTTTGGAAGTGTAGTACACACAGGGTTAATGCCTACAGTTGTTCCCAATATGTCCTTGCACAAGCAAAACCAGTTTTAAGTACCGTTGCGCTGAAACGGTGCATGGT